CCTTTCATCCCTTCCATTCCTTATAGTTCCCACAAAAGCTATGAAATTAGCTATTAAAACTAATAGTCCCAGTAGCTCATAAATAACAATTACAAATCCACATCACTTCTCATCTTGAGGTTTTTTCAAGGACTAATGGAATAGGGGAGAGACAGACAATATCTTGCCCCATGCATATAAAGCTAATACAGGATATTTATTATAATTATTTGGGGTTCCTTACCGTTCCTTAATAGGGGAACACCTATACTTCCTTTTTTATCTTTCTTTTCATTTTTCCTTCTGTATCCTCTTGTGCTTTCAGGTACTCTTGACCTCACAAAGAGCTGAAGAGGTTAATGAATCTTACCACCCAGTTCTTGCTGTCACTCAAAACTAAGAAGGATTATAACTTCAACTTATCCAGGAACCTCTGAAAGGGGGATTTCATCTGTATGTCTAATGAGATATTTTGTTGACACTTGGCAGCTGTCAATTGAGTAAGAAGCTCTCTAGTTGGCCAATTAGAAAGCATGCCCAGAGAGAAGGATAAGCATACAAAGGCTGGACTGCTTTGCCTGACTCCATTACCCATTAATTAGTCATTTGAGCTAGAGACTGAGCCCTTCTTTTCTGCATGGGAATGGACTCATTTTTATAGCAAACATCTCACTGAAATGTTTGCTAAGAAAGGGCTGTTTTCACCCATATGCATCAATTAGTTCTTCTGTGAACAAAAGAAACATAGTTTTGGTGCAGCTTTTGTTTTCTACTATCTCCAGCTGAATTAAATTAAAAAAAAATTAGTCTTCTGAATGTCACTTTGCTCCAGATGCTCCCAATTCAGAGTTTATCAAAATTTCCTCCTTTCTTCCTTCCTTATAGCATTGAACACAGAATATTCATCTTTCACCTCACATACTGTTTGACTGTTAGTATTTACCACTTCACGTTTTCCTTCTCTCTCTTTCAATTAAGCCTCAAGTATTCACTCTCACTTCATAACCATATGTTTGAAATGGAAGTCAGAAAGCTCTTTGTATTATCTTCTTTTCTTATATTTTCAGTTATCTTTTTTCTAACAAATACATTTTCTCCTATCTTGACATTCACCTATGTCCCTCCTTTCAAAGCTATTGCTGCAAGTGAAATACCCTCAATAACCTTCACCTTGTAGTTTGTTCAGTTACCTCCTTGATGTGCTTCATTTTGCTATCAGGAGTAAAACTTGTCTTCTGAGGAATCCTGGACTCCCTATGATCCCAGCCATCAAAACTTTAATGATACAAAGAAACTGCATTAAGATACAGTGCTAAATATAGCACTAACAGGGTAAGAAAGGGAAGTTATATGTCTGCATCAAACCGAGCTTTGCACTTTCAAACCAAAGAAGGTGAGGAGAGGAAATCTACATGAAAACCAAAATATCCCTGCTTCCCATCATCATTTACATCGAATGGTCAATGAATATCTTTGTTTCTTTGACTGCCATTTTCATAATTTGGTAATTAATTTGAAGTGATTCAACTTGCCTTGTATTGTTGTTTCCCTTGTAATTCAGTCCATAAGTGCTAGACTGGAGGAGGGCCTAAATCTAGGCAATATTGGGAAGAAGCAGTGTTTGTTATTATTCTTTGACACCTCTGCCCCTCAATTTGATGCTATTCATCCCATTTTTGGTGACTTTGTACCTGCTTGTGATATTCAAAATGCCTGTCCTTGTTTCCACATCTGGATCTGGTGTTCCATTGTTCCACTCTTATCTCTGACACTATGGTTTATCCATTTCCTTAATAAAGCAAGCCTGTCTTGAAAAGCATTCATTCAAGCATTTGATAAAATGGTGCATTAACCTTATAAATTCATTTGCATTTAGGTCTGAATTGCTTTTGATGGCCAATTAATTTATCCATTCTAGAACAGAACACTAACTACAAGAGGTGATATTCAATAGTAAAATTCCAGAAATAGTTGTAGGTTAGTTATATAAAATGAACCAGAGAGGTTCACCCTGATAATCTGCATTGCAAGTATGTAGCAAGTTATACTAGTTGTCTGACCTGGAACAAATCATTCTACCTCAAAAGCTACACAGAAACACAGTTCATCAATCCCAACACTAGTCCTTTTTATAACTTTAAGACTTACACAGCATTTAATGGATGTAACAAAGAACTAAGTAGACATAGACACAAACATACTGAAATTGTCATATAAAAGAGTTTAAAAACCACCAGTGATTGTTGCAAAGATCATATAAATAACATGTAATAATAATGGAACCACAAATAAACACAGAGTTTCCTAAAGACAGAAACTTTGCCCTATCTACCTATCATAATATTGTATACCCAATAAGGACTTAATAGGTATTTGTTGAATTGATGTATAAATACATAATTTAATAATTGAGATTTTAAATTGCTATAAGTGACTAGACAGTGCTGAAGAATTACATGATAATTTCTCAGTACATAATTTTTAATACTATTTCTTCAGCATTGGTGGCATATAGATGGAACAAAACTTTTAATTTGAAAATCAATAAGCCACTTGAGGAACAAAAATAGCAAGGCCACTGGAGGAAAAAAAAAGAAGGAAACTACAATTCATCTTTAATCTTATGATATTTTTCCTCTCACCAACACTACTCTTCATTTCCTGGATTAAGATTTTAGGCCTGTGGTTGTTTTATTTTGGATTTGCAGATCATTCAAGCATTCAGAGTTCCTATGTAGAGGCTGTTAGATGGTAAAATGGATAGTTCAGTGGGCCAGGAGTCAGGAAGGCCTGATTTTAAATTTGGCCTTGGATACTAATAGCTCTGCGACCTTGAGCAAGTCAGTTAACTTCAGTCTGCCTTGTTTTCCTTAAGGATAAAATGGAGGAAGCTTCCACAGCTCTGGTGGAGAATATAGTTATTCTGAAAGGGTAAGAAACACAAATATGGCTGCAGTTTAGCACTTGCCTATAGGTCCAGAGGAATAGAATAAGCTTTGTCTAAGTACTACTCTCTAGTTCAGTGACCAAGGGATGACAAACTGTGCAGTAAACAAATACAATGAAGTCACTTAAAGTATGAATCTTACGTGACTATTTTGAAATCTGTGTTGATATACATTAAACCCATGAAACTAAAATTAACTTCTGAAAAGTAGACAGAAGATGAAAACAAAATTAGCTAAAGGAGGGAGCATATGCCAGAATATGATACTTAAAAAGTTTAACTGCCTTTGAAGTTTATTTCTGGACCTTGAAAATAGACTGCTAACTGTGTGGTTTGATTAAGGCAGTTTTATTTGTAGTTACAAAACTCTCTTAGATAAGTCTCTTTAGATGGGTCCCAATCAATCAATTAATAAACATTTGTTAGTTGCCAAATATGTGCTGAGGATACAAAGAGGTAAACTTGCAGTCTAATGGGGGAGACAACAATTCAACAAATATATACAAATCAAACTATATCCTTTCTTTCTTGACAAAATGGAACAAGCATTTTGTATTTGCCCAGCTCAGATTTTTTTTCTAAAATGCACTCTGAGTTTAACAGTTGGTATCAATCACATCCTGTTATTATCCTTAGAAGCAGACCTGGAGGGTCTTCTATGGCCAGCTAGCCAAACCTAGAAAGCTTGGCTTAGGGAGATTAAGTGAATTTCCCAAGGTCACAAAGGTATAAACTTCAAAGGCAGCATTTGATCCCAGGTCTTCAGACTTCAGGGTCACTTTGATTTCTACTCTAACATACCAATTTAAAATCCAGCAATTTTTAAAACCGATTCTACATTGGGTTTTCTCACAAATTCATTCATTATCCTGAACCAGGCACTATGCAGGACACGGGATACAAAGACAAAAATGAAATCTTCCTCTAATAGTCTACTACCTACCTATTCTATGTCTTCTATGAAAGTATATTAGAAATCTAAGTAGCTTGTTCTGGACTTTTCCCTAATGTTCATTCTGCATTTTTCATGAGTTATTGACATTAAGAATTCAAGTTCTTGGCAATAACCTGAGAAACTTCTGCACAATTACAGCCAAAGTTCTAGTACTAGGCAGCAATTTCATGACCCAAATGTTGTATTAATGTTCTATATGCTAGTTTTTTAACATCTATATAGCCTTAAACAATCAACATTATATTGTCAATACAAATTCTTATTTATGCATGATCCCTTATTGTAAAAAAAAAAAATCACTTGACTGAATCCAGGGAACAAGGATCAACATGTCATTGTATCAGCATTTATGTCTACTAACCCAGTCAATCAGTAAATTTATCTCTTTTCTCTAATGAGTGTTAGGCTCCCTGTCTCTCCATCAATGATTAGCATATCATAAATGAAGAAGAAAAGTTAAAAAGATCCTATAGGTTGTTTGAAGTTTCCATTATCTAAATGTATCTTTTCCCTAGTTTCTAGATCATAGTAGATGGTGTAAATGTTAGTTGCTAGTTTGCCTTGATATGGAAAGGTTATTCTCTGGATAGTTGACCTGGAAGTCTAGATTGGCAGGGTATATGGATGTTTGCAACTTCAATTGATTCAAGAACAAAGTAAAAAAAAAATGGAATGCCAAGCTAGGGTATTGTGAGGATGGCAAGGGATCGCTTCCATTCACAGTTTTTAATTACGGTTAAGAATTCAGATTTTTGTGCCACTAAAGGTACCATGAAATGATGGGAAATAGCAAGTTTTAATTTTACAACCTAAAAACAATAAATCATTATCTTTCCCTGGCCGCCACTATCTGTTACCATCCAAGTCAGTAATTGTGGCTGCTTGACTAAGAATGAATACATTTCTGAATTTCTATCTCCTTAGCATTGGTTTTATTGTTTGATAGTTAATTACCTGCTAACTGGATTCCCCAAAGGAATCATAAATCGGAAATACATCAATTAAATAGTGGACTCTACCCCCACAAATTGATACTTTTTTCTCAAGAATTTGCTTCTTGGCAGTTTCTCATTAAGAGGACTCTTCTTGGTGTTGATAATGTCAAAGGTGAGTACTCACCTTCCATTTCCTTCTTATTTAGCACTGGAAAATGGTATGTTCTGTCCTCTCTTTAAGAAATGGTGTTCGTTTCACTAACTGAAAATGACAGCTGTCTCTTTTTGAGCCGTTTTAAGTCCAGAGCAAGTTTGCTATTTACTAGTTCCAAGAGAAAAAGGAAAATTTTGTGATGAGAAATCTGTTCTTCTGTCATGAAAAGAAATGAAACCATATTTGCTGTCTTGTTCTAAATGCAGAGGAAGAAGGATTTGTTCTTGGCCACCACCAGTGTTCCAATACTTCTGTCCACTCACACCCTGCAGGGCAAATAACAGAACTTCACATCTGATCTAAAATGTCATGTCAGGGCACTAGGCTTTTTTTTTTTTTTTGCTGCTGTTTTTCAGCATCTGCTTCCTTCTGATCCTTTAGCCCAAACAGCCAAATTTGCTGATACAGGGAAAAAACGCAACACTACCATTGGCTTTTCCCAGCAATTTAGCGTGAAAGAGAAAAGCTGAGCTGGAAGTTTCACAAAGTCTTATGACTGCTGATCAGAGAAAATGCAATTTTCGCAACTTCTAATTTATGCCCTGATACAGTTGTAAGTTGAAAAAAAATAAATTTGGATGGTATAGGAAATGTAGGAGAGTAGAAATTCAGTCTGGCCTCCCAATGTTACCTTTGACTCCTTTTTCTTTTTTTCAATTTGATACTCCCCACCAAAAAGCTCCTTTGGAAACATTAATTTCTGCTCATGGGCAGACATAGATTACCAGTTACCTGCAAGTTTTAGCAATTCCTGATGAATCCTTCCTCCTCCCCTTTCACCTAGCCTCATTGTTAGAGCGGGTTATGGTAGATGTGCATTGCATTATGTTAAGGGGTACCTGTCCATAATTTCCATTTGGTGTCAATATTAAATATGCTGGCCAAATACGTACCTTTTTAGTAACCAACATTTCCATGATATTTAGAGTCATCTGTGAACTGAGTTTAGAACCAGGGAAAAAAAAACAACTTAGTTTGAGTCCCAGTTTTTATACTTAGTATCTATGAAAAAATGTTCTTTTCTCCTTTTTTGTCATTAATTCTCAAGGGGGACCATGGGTTCAGGAAGGTGATATCATGACTTGCCAGTGAATTGGATTTAATTGAAGGAGAGCTGTGCAAAGTCACAAGTCTCTGTTTTTTTCTCCAGTGCCCTCTGAGTCCAGTGGCAAGATATAAATCAGAATGACTGGAGATGGCCTCTGATGCAGTGGCCTTTTTAAGCTAAAGTCTTTCCAGGTTTTCAGTTTAACTGAGATAATACCCATTCAGAGATTAAGGCTAGGTAAGAAGTGAGGGAAAGAATAGACTCCTTTACCTAGTCAAAAAACAAAAAACAAAAACAGTCTGTGAGGGGAAGACCCTTAGAGTTTCTGGCCAAAGCAGAAACTATTGCTATTAACATTCACTCTGAGCCACCAGGGGCCCCAAAAAGATGACCACTAAGTGAGGCTTGGCCTGGGACCTACTGTCTGCCAATCAGTGAGAGCCAGACTGAATTGCATTTAAGACATGGTCCTGAAGAGAGAAACCTAGCCTGTAAACCCCAAGATATTTTCCAAAGTTTCAGCACTCAAAATTTCTATTCCTTTGGTCAGGGCACCCGCAGGCGAGAGTATTGTACCTTATGTGGACAGAAGGGAGGAAGAAGAGCAAAAGGAAAAGAGAGAAGAGGAAAAGAGAGGAGAGGAGAGGAAGAGAGGAGAAGAGAGGAGAGGACAGTGAGAAGGAGCTCTGTTGGCCAACTGGAACTGGCTAGTTGGGTCCCCAGTGGGGCAGCTCATAGTACCCACAGGTTGTTTTTTGTCCTTCACTCTCAAAGAGGATCATGAATCAGGAAGGTGATGCCATGACTTGCAAGTGACTTGGGTTTAAGTAGGGGAGGGTTATGAAAAGTCACCAGTCTCACTTTCTCCTTTGGAACCATCTGTCATGTCAAAACAATTACTTAGGTCAAATGAGTCACTTCATCTCTCTGACACCAACTTTCCTCATCTGTAAATTTTAGGAGTTGATTAGACAGTCCTTCAGGTTCCCTCTAGACCTAGTATTCTCTGAATTTAGTGTTCTAGTCCATCTGTCTCATTTTTAAGATGAAGAAATAGAGATCTTAAGTGGTATGTGATTTTGTCCAGTCACAGAAAGTAGTATCTCAAGAATTCTAACTGAATTGTTCAGATTCCCAGTTTAATGTTAATTTTATTAATACTTTTTAAAGAAATCCTAATGATCCCAACACAAAGGATTTTTTCAAAATTGCCCTTTTTAAGTAATATATCTGTTTAAAAGTCTTAATTGTAGACAATTAGCTCCACAGATAAGCTCCTTTAGGAGAAGGAATATTTTTCATTTTTCTCTTCTATCACTAACACCAGTATCTTGCACATAGCTTGTAATAAATACTCATTTTTTTGTTATTGTTTTGTTGTTGTTATGTCATTTCCCATTAATAGCAAGAACCTTAACTGTCTTTGTAGTCCCTGAATAGTAGTGAAAACATGGCTGACTAAATCCTGTGGGAATTATTCTATATTCTTCAGTAAAATAGTTTCTTTTTCTGGCTTTTTCTTAGGGTACACACTGTACTATGTGAAGAAACAGAGGCAGGGAATAATGTAGTACTCGATATCCCAAACAACTAATTCTCTCACAAAATCTTCGCATAGGAGATTGTAGAAAATGGCCTGCAGGCTAACACTGCATGTAGAGTAGAGCAACCCAAAGGTGAAAAGAGACTCCACTGAGCTCAATGTGGCATGTTCTTTCCAATGACCCTAGCCAACTTCCTTCTCCCTTCCGTTCTACAGCTCCAGGTCTAATTCTCAATTGAGAAATGAAGAGTTATACTACAGGAGTTTCTTTTTCTGTGACATAGATAAAAAAAAAATCTGATTTTCTCCACAAGAGAGAAAGGATATTTGGTTTTCTCTGACTCAGTATGTTTCTGATTTTAGTCACTTTTATCCTTATTGTCTATTCCAAAATGCTGTCAGCACAGTTTCTCAAGTCCATTTATCATCCTGTAGACCAGCACCTCTTTACTCACTCCCTTTATAATACCTGAGTTTGCTAATGCTGCAGCTTTCCACATTATAAAAGACCCTGGTGGGCTCCCTCGAGAAGGCAATTATCTATTATGCTTAGGGGACACAAAAAACCAGCTCACATGGGGAATTGCCTACATACTCTTTCCATCCTGTGCCTGACCCAAACCAATTTACAGTGACAACAAACACAAATTGAGTTCTGGATGTAAGGTGAAATAAGTAATTGAAAACCTACAGATCTTGTATTAGAGAAACCTACTTGTAGTGTAACTACAAATTCCTAAAAAATTTTTCAGAACAGTTATTCAATGACAAATCAGCACTCATAAGAAATGAAAATTATAGTTATTTTTGGCCAGTCTCATATTTCTTCAACTGTTTTAATATTATACACACACACACACACACACACACACACACACACACACACACACTTTGAGTGTATATGTGTGTATGTGTATATGTATATATATAATGTTTAGAATTAATTTGAAGATAATATTATTCATCTTTTTTAGTTAGAAATTTACATTTTTCAGGATAGTGAATTGCATAAGGAGGAAATTCCATTGGTGAATTGGTGGAGTGGTGAATTGTTTGATTATAGTAATGGCCTGGCCTCACCTAGAAACCTTTCTTTTTAGTTTGCAATTGTTACTTATGTTTTGGGTACTATGTGGCAGTTTGGAATACTGAACTTGCAGTTAGGAGACCTGAGGTCAAATCCCAGCTCTGTATCCCAAATTATGTAGCCATCAGCAAATTACTTGAACTCAGAATTTCAGTTTACTCACTGGTAAAATGCACATAATAAAATCTTATTATATGCTTCAGTGGACAATTATGAAGATCAAATGGGACAATTATGTAAAGGATATGAAAAACCTTTAATACCTATGAAAGAATACTAACTCGATTGAAAAGATAGGATTCAAATCCTATCCGTGATGTACTATTCTAGTGACCTTGAAGAAATCATTTCATTTCTCTGGCCTTACTTTCCTCATCTGAGCAATGATGTCATTAGACTAGGTATTCTCTAGAGTCCTTTCTAGCTCTAGAGAAGTTGTCCTATATAAGGATCAGTTTTTATTATCTAATGTCTAATTAGCACAACATTCCTTAATATTAGCATTGCATAATAATACAATATGGAATAATTTACTTTTATGTTCCTGGCATCTAGCACAATCCCAGGTGTATAATAAATAGATAGAACACAGATAGATAGATAGATAGAGAGAGAGAGAGAGCAGATAGATATTTGTTGAATCAATGGGCAATTCAACATTTGTTAATTAACTCTTCTGTATAAGTCACTGGACAAAGCCAGAATGAGCTACAAAGTAGTGATGTTCTTGAACTTATCAAGGCTTAGCAGCTAATGGAGATGATATATGGTCACAAATATGTGGCACAAAATATGGTAGTGAGATCCAATAATGTGAAATAACTGGTAATCAAATATATAATGGATTCTAAATTACATGGGAATTGTCAAAGGAGTTGTAGAGCTGAATGACCCATGTTTAGATACTGGCCCCTCTACTCACTTTGTGATTATGAGCAATCACTTAACTTCTCTGTACCTAGCTTCCTCAAGTGTAAAATGAGAGGTTTGAATTCGGTATCAAAGATAGCTTGCAGTTATAAATGTATGATTCTAATAATATTGTCTATAATCTTGCTGGTTATTAGGGACATCAGAATATATATTATTTCCTTGAACTTCTTTGGGTAGCAACTGAATTAATGGCTAGGGTATCACAAATAGGTGAGAGTACAAAATTTTAAATTGGCATCAGGGTAAAAATAACTGAGGAATATGTAACTATTCTGAGATTTTTATTGCCTTAGGGAGATTAAAACAGACATTGGGTTAAATAAAATAACACAGGCTTACAATGGGATAGGGTGATGGAAGACAAGTGGAATAGATAGAAGCAGAAATAAAGTTTTGGTCATAAAACAGAATACAGTTCCACTTCTGGGGGCCAGGATGGTGGAGTAAGAAATAAGTCACTATTACTATCCCTTATCAACCTCTGAAAGTCCAGAAAATATCACCCCAGGAAAAACCCTGGAACACCTGAATCAGAAGAAAGTTGGGGTCCAGCAGTCCAGTAGACCAGGTAGCTTGAGGCATTTATAGGAAAGGCCCCTCTTGCCCTGGGAGAAGGGGAGCAGCACAGAATGAGAGGCATTCCAGCAAGC